TTGGACATGAACCTGGTCAGGTTCTGGGCGAGGACCACCCCCAGGAGCTTGAGCTCCATCTTCACACTGTACTCGGCTTTCCTGGAGCTGGACCCATACAGGCCCAGCCCGCCACAAACACCCTCCTGTCTGCCGCAAACTGGATGCTGTCGCAGCGCCCCCGGTAGCACCACTGGTTGCTGCGGTAGGCCGAGGACTGGAAGCGGTGGCACCTCTGCGGGGTCAGGCCTCGCCTCTTGGTCAGCGGGAAGTTGAGCAGGGGCTTGTTGGCCGCCGTGTACCACAGGAAGATGTTGTGGGTCTCCTCCAGCATCAGGATGTCCGACTGGGCAGCGCCATTGGCAAACTCCTCCAGGGTCTTGGTTGGAATGCGGACCAGGTAGAGGGCCGGCCCCAGGATGTGCCTCTTGTTGCGTGGGGTGGCGGGCAGACTCTGCCGCTTGCACTCGGCCTCAGCCTCAGCCCAGTTGAGCACAGCCTCGAAGACCACCATCTCCTTGGTGTTGAGGGCCTCCTGGGTGACGACAACCTCCAGGGTCTGCCAGTCGATCTCGCAGATGCCCTCGGACTGCAGGGCCATCTCCGCCTGCTCTTCAATGACCTCCCAGCAGCGCTGGGTCAGCTCGGGCTCCTCAAACAGCCGGCTCTGCGACAGCAGGACACAGGTGTTCTTGGCTTCCAGGCTCGTCTCCAGGAAGTGCACGCAGGCTTTCGCCGGCGGCCGCCTCTTCCCTGCCCCGCCTGGCTTCTCTGATCACTGGCAGGGGGGCGGGAAAGGTGGCCCCGGTTTTCTGATCATGGGCCGGGGGGCAGGGCAAAGGCAGCCCCCGGGACCCTTGCCTGCCGCCTGGGTTTCCGATCACCGTCAGCGGCAGGCGGCTTCTTCCATCCTTCCCCTTTTGCCTCCCAGCATTGCGCTTTCATATGCAAATTAACTGCCATCTTTGTTGGCAGTTAACCGCCATCTTTGTTGGCAGTTAATTTGCATATTGCCCTGATTAGCCAATGGGAAGTGTAGCGAAGGTACGGTTAATTACCATGTTTGTCTATTATTAGATAGGAGGATTTCTGTAATTTAGAATGTTTTTTTCACCTCAACCTGTTTATTTCTGTGTACTCTGCTAAGAATGCTCTCATTGCTATGGCTGTGGGTGACAAGTGATTGTATCGGTTTGGGATGCACCTTCTGTTCATGATTATCAAGGGTCAGGAGAGACAAGGACTTAGTAATAGGTAGATCACAACCTACTCTTTCTCATTTATAGCACTAATTCCTTAATGCTATTTTTATTTCCTTCATTGAGACTTGACAGTTTTACTTGACAGGCAGAAGGCATGGAATATAAATAGTTCATCCATTTCAGGCTCTGGTTTTCTCTGAATGGAGGGTGTTATGTTTTGATATTGTTTTCCTTCATACTAATAGCATCAATAGGAAAAGAGGAGTTCAATTGTATGCTGTAATAGATCCACTGGCATTGTCCTGAATTACTATAAAACAATACTAGTTTTATTTTTAAAACTCTGGAGAAGAAATTGGAAAGACACACCAAAGGATGGATTTTTTAAGAACTTTCTAAAATAAAATAGACTTTTGGGAAATAAGTATTTATCTTCCTGTCTATTTATGTGTTACTATTAAATTGAAAAGAGATAACAGTATTGCCTTTGCACTCAAGAACGGAGTGAAACCTCCTTTGGAGGGACACTATAGTAGGGCAAACCTGAAATATCTCTTGCTAGATTTCGCTGCAATGTTAAAACTGTTGTAAGGGGAAAAGCCAGTTCTTTGGTATGTTTTGTTTACTGCCTGGTATTTTAAGAGCCAGAGAACTACCAAACTATTTTATTAAATACTAGAGGCCTAGTGCACAAAAATTTGTGCACTTGGAGGGATCCCTCAGCCTGGCCTGTGCCCTCTCGCAGTCTGGGGATGTCCACCTGCTGGCTTAGGCCCGCTCCCTGGGGGATTGGGCCTAAGCTGACAGTCAGACATCCTACTGGCAGCCCGGGAGCCCTTGGGGGATGTCCACTTGCCAGCGGCGAGCAGGCCTAAGCTGCAGTCGGACATCCTTAGCGCTGCTGAGGAGGCACGAGAGGCTCCTGCCATCACCGCTGTGCTGGCAGCCATCAGCCTGGCTTGTGGCTGAGCAGAGCTCCCCC